TCCTGTCTCGTTCTCTGGGCTTGGCTTAATTGAGTTCATAGATTGAGAAAGGGAGCACTGGAAATACTTTCTTTTAGAGCTGATTTTACATTTTAAAAAGGCAATACGTTCTTTATTTAAAGAGCTGTGTGAATGGCTCAGTGACTCATTTGTCAAAGGTGTGCGAGGGAAGTATTTGCAAAGTGATTTGACAGTGAACTCTCTCGGGACCAGCTTTTGGGTGTTCTGTTTTTCCGCTGTGTTACGTTGGCAAATGGGTTTGTGACTGGGGGCGGTTTTAGTCGCCAGCCAGGGGACGTGGGCAGCCACTGTGGATGTCAGTTGTCCCACTGGGGAGGCCGTGTAAGGAGCCGTCTGGCTGCAGTCCCCAGACAGAGGGTGAGCGGAGCTGTTGCTGTTCACACCGAGGGAGACGGTTCTGTGCTCAGAGGGCGCACGGTGTTGGAGAGCCGCGCACGCGTCTTGCGCACGTCTTTGTGGAGGCGAGCTGTTTCTGGCTCCTGCCTGTTCCGGTGTGAGCACGTCAGGTCAGGCAGTGGTCTGAGGCATCGGGTCATTTCGGTCACTTAAAGATTTGGTTTTTATTAAGCTCCATAAAGTATCTTTTAAGATAGGAAGTTTTCAAAAGCTGGGCGGTAATTTCAGGTGCTTTGGGCTTCTCTCTGCCTGGGCGGTGCCGCCCCCTGGGGTCACTGTGAACTGCAGGGAGAGCTCGTCCTGGGCCCGTGAGTTGCCCGTGCGCGTCCTGGGCTGGCCGCTCTCCTTGACTGGGTTACCGAGCGTTAAAAATTCTCCCAGGAACGGCTGCAAGTTCAGTGCAGGGCTACGGTGACATTTGAGGAAAGTTTGATGAATGTTAGGACAATTATCTCATCTGGAAATCCATGTGGTTAGACATTAACATTTCAACCCAATAATTATATCAATTGAACTTTAACATTTCGTTGTAATTAAAAAAACGGAAGCCTCGTAACTGTGGTTTTCACGTAACTGAACAATTTAAGAATCCAATTACTTAAAAATCGATTTACAAAATTCACCCTGCGGGTTTTTTTCCCACCTGACAGTTAATTACTTACCTGGGGGATCGACCCTGCCCGCGGCCTCGGTTTTGTGGTCCGTCCACCAGTGTAGCAGACTGGTCCGGTTACCGTACAGAAGGGTTTGTGGGGGCTCGTTGAGTGATTCCGGCTCCCTTCCGGCGCCTAGTTCTCCAGGAAGCGGGGTCGGAATCTGGTTGGCAGGGTCTGTGAAAGTTGCAGGTGGCATTAGGGGTTTGGGGTTTCTGGCCAAGGACTAGAAATCAAGTGACTCACAGAAAGAAATCAAGGCCATTCTTTTTTTTTTTTTTTTTTACTTAAAAGATTTTATTTTTAGAGAGATGGGGAAAGGAGGGGGAAAGAGAGGGAGAGAAACATTGATTGGTTGCCTCTCATGTGCTCCTGGAGCAGGGATCCAGCTCACGACCCAGGCATGTGCCCTGACTGGGAATCGAACCTGCAGTCTTTCACTTTGGGGGTCGACACCCACCCCACCGAGCCACGTGGTCAGGGCCGAATGGCCCATTCTTGGTAGCAGGACTGATGATGTAGCTTCTCAGAGTGAGAAGGGCTGAAGTTACGGATCACAGACAGCCCCTGGGTTTAGTTGGGGAAATCTACCTCGTCTAGGAGAAAATCCAGCTCTCCACCTCCCGTCCTGCTGCACCAGTTCTGAATAACGCCCCCCAACCCCGGCGGGGGGGGGGCAGGCCTCCAGTTCTTCTTTCTTATAGCTCTTAGAGCGGCCCCCCAGGCGGTTACAGGGGTGCAGGCTGACCCTCTCCAAGGGCATAAGATATGGTGTTGATTGTGGTGTTAATGGTCTCTAGAAAACCAAAATCTGGGGAAAAAATGAAATCCTGGGAAATATGAAGGTACAGCTTTTCCAGGCTACAAAAACTAGTGTGTGGAATTGTGAAAGAAAGAGCTTAGTGAGAACATGAGTCAAGTTTAATACCCTGAGCATTACTGCAACTGACTCAAAGATTCTTATCTTAAGTGAGATTTACATCTTGAATTTCTTCTCATTTTTTTTTTTTTTTGAATAAAATCCTTCTGACTTCTTGCAGTGTTAAAATGGTTAATGGCCTTGGATTAACCTGGCCCAGTTCCTCCATTTTTCTGATAGTCCGGGCCCCCACCCCCCAGCCTTTTTCTTTGTCTGGGTGATTCTTCCCAAATATCCCATCTTCAGAGTTTTTTTCTTTAATCATGAAGTGTTTCTCTTAGTTACATCAGGCACCAATAGTAAACGTAGCCAAAATACCAACAACATATATATCTTCTAGTGTTGAAATGAAGGGCGATTTTTAGTCTGCAAAAGTTTTCCTGGCCCTGAAGGGTTTTACAATGACTAGGGGCTGCTTCTATAGTCCGGAGCATTGAGTTAATTACTCGGATGTTCATCCTTGGATGGGAGGTGATTAGTGGAAAGGAATTTTCCAAGGGATTGTTCCCCTTGGTGACCCACTCACGCAGGGCGACTGAGCGCCTCTCCCACAGGGGGACAGGGTGGAAGAATCTGGACTCCAGCTGGAGGGGCAAAGGGAGAGGGCCCCCGACTGGATAGCAAGGGGAGGATGAGCCCTTTGTGGACGCCTGGTTTCAGGCTGGGGTTGAGCCAGGACCTTCAGTCCTCAGAAAGTGCTTGACTCGCAGGCTGGCTGCTTCCCTCTCTCTCCGCCCACTTTGCTCAGAGAGCACCTGACAGCCACGGGCACAGCCCCACGTGGACCTCGTGGCCTGGTCCCTCTGGAGGGTGGCCGCTGCTCACCAACCGTCCCGTCCTCTCTGAAGCCCCGAAACACTGGCGCCGGTCGAGTCCAGCCCCGTCCGTGTTGTGGTTTCCCAGGGCTGCTGTGGAAGGGGCCCAAGACATAGAAACTCCTTCCCCTGTAGTTCTGGAGGCCAGCAGCCCAACACCGAGGTGTCCCCGGGCCACACGCTCTGTGAAGGTTCTGGGGAAGGGCCTCTCCTGGCGCCTTCTGGGGTCTGCTGGTGTGGGTTCCAGGGCTCGTGGCAGCTGCCAGTCTCCGCCTTCCTCCAGTGGCCGCTTCTCGTGGGGCTGTGTGTGTCTTTCTGAATCTCCCTCTCTGACGGCAGCTGTTTTGTCCCTGGAAGGGGCTGTGAGAAAGAGGAGTCTGGCAGTTCGGAGACCAGGAAACCCTCATGGAGATGGAGACCCATCTCTCCCTTCCTCTGGCCACACGTGGCCCTCAGATGGTCCGTGGCCCTACCGCCCTGTGGGGGCCTTGAGAAGGTAGCTCGTCTGGACCAGGACAGCGCCCGCGGAACACATGGAGCAGACCACAGACACTCAGGGAGAAGGAGGGGCATATCATCCCACGATTATGTGCTGAAATAACATTCGTGATCCACTACATTGAATAAAGTAGGTTATTAAATGTGATTTAACCTTTTAGCTTTTTCAAAATGCAACTACCAGAAAATTTAAAGTTTTGTTTTTATTGGCTGCTGTGGTCCAGCGAGTGACTGTCTACCCGTTTTCCTGGGATGACCACTAGAGTGGCGGGTTATCTCTTGTTCCAGGAATTGTGACTCGGATGGGCACCCCCAGGCCGGTCTGAAACCAGGATGTGGGAAGACTGGCAGGTGGGAAGGCGAGTGAGCTCCAGAACACGAACTTCCCCAGCTAGTGCCCCAGAAGGACGGGTGCTTTCACTGCAGCGGACCTCCCCTGGGCAGGCTCATCCGGTCGAGTAGGTGGGGCAGCAGCACCTGCCGGGAATAACCGAGTAGGGCTGCCTGTTTAACCGTGGAGGGCGTGGCTGATCCGAGAGGTACAAGCAAACTCGTTTCCTAAACACTGTCACATATATGGGGTGCATAGGTCCAAGGTCATGACTACCTTGAACCTCATGGCTTCACATTAGTCGTGGACAAACATGTATGGCATGTGCTCTGAGTGGGAATCGAACCTGCAACCTTCCCGTTTGTGGGATGCTGCCCGACCCCCTGAGTCACACAGGTCAGGACAGTGATTGAAAATTTTATGTGGAAAATCCCAGAAATATAACAATTCATGCAGTTTAAATCGTGCATGGTTCTGGTGGCATGATGAAACCTCGTGTGTCCTGCTCTGTCCCGCCCGGGACCTGGACCGTCCCTTGTCCAGCATGTCCACGGAATGGGTGGGGACCAGATGCACTGTCGGGTGTCGCGGGGTGTGGGGTCACTGACCCTCAGTTGGCTTGGTCACGACCCGAAGCCTCCACATACCTCATTGGACTGTATTGTTGGAACTGCTCTGTCTCACTAGGTAGTTACTGCTGTTGACCTCTTACTGTGTCCGTGTGTTAAACTTCAGCACAGGTGCGTGTGTTTGGTGTTGTCCGTGTCCTTGGCGTCGCCTGGGTCTGGAATGACCCCACAGATGCGGGGGGGATGGAGGACCCACCACACCGGTTCGCACCACCTGCCGCCGCTGTCACGCAAGCCTCCCTTGCGTGGTGGCTGGTTTGTTCCTCGGTGGAACCTGGTGACGCGAGACCTTGTTTTGTCTCGTTGACTCCTGTGTTGTTGGGCAGGAAATGCCCGCTCAGTGGTGTTTGTGGATGAAGTCAGTGGTCCATGAAAAGGCAGGTTGCTCTCGCTCCTTCTCTTCCGCGTGCCTTCCCCTCGGCTGCTTTCTCTGTCTCTTTCTCGGTCCCCCTCCGTCCCCTCTTGTGCGTCCCTCCTGTGTGGTGCGGGCCACGCGGAGAAGCCGGGACTCTGCTTTCCCAGGGGCTGTTTCTCAGCTGAGTGCCGCTCATTTTCATCTCAGCCCCTCTGCCCTTCCTTCTGTGCGCCCCTCCCCTCGGCAGCCCCAGGGCAGTAGCCCGCCCCCACCCTCTCCCCGGCTGGCTCCTGCAGACCTGCCTGGGGCGGGGGCCAGGCCCAGGGCGGAGCGCCTGCCACACACCCTCAGAGGCCGGGTTGTCCCGGAAACATTCCCAACAGCGAAGGGGCAGGAAACTGTGGTAACTCACTTGGAGGGTAGCAGGGAACTGGAGGTGTGGCCACGCCCGCTGCCCGCAGAGGACTCGGGGAGACACGAAGGGCGAGACACGAAGGGCAGTGGGAAGGTGAGGTGGGCCCGTGGGACGCCGTCCGCCTGGAAGAGCACAGGCCTCCATCTGGAGGGAAGGCGGCCGCGGCTGTGGCTCTGCGGGCGGCCAGCAGCGTGTGGCTGGCCTGGCACCTGCGCCAGATCCTGGTGCTTGTTCTCGGAGGCCAGGAGCGATGGTTTGTTTTTTCAGCCCCTGAGTTAATTAGGAATGCAGCCAGCCCCACGCTCTGTTCACAAGACTTGGCCTTCAAGGTGAGCAGACACAAAGCAGCGTGTCCCACTAAAGTCATTTGCGCGGCCCTGTTCTCGTCGTTGTCTCTGGGCCCCAGGGCGGCCTGGGGCCAGGACCTTGGAGGTGGGTGCTGGGGTTGGAAGCACGCTGCCAGCCTATGGGCCGGCTGCCTGCTCGGGGCGGCCCGGCCAGACCCTCGCTTCCGAGTGGGAGCCACAGGGGTTGCTCTGCCAGTCCCTCCAGGGCTACCCCCCTGCAGACCTTGGGGTGGGGGGGGCCTCTGCTCCCAGGCCCCAGCGTCCTGCTGGGAGACCAGGCGGCCCGAGGGGAGGGAGGGGGCTTGGAGCTGAATGGGTCTCTGTTCCAGGCTCTGCTGAGATGCTCACTGGCTCCGCCTCTTCTCTGAGAAGTGGTGCAGTGAGGCTGGAGAGGTATGCAGGACAGAGAGGCCTTTGCCTGGAGTGACCGTGACTCGTCTGTGACGTACTCGTGGGTCTGGCTGGTTTACCTCGAGCACTAGGCCCTGCCGTCAGGGCCGCAGGGTGCAGACCGGACCGAAGGCCCCTTTGGCCTTTTCCTGGACGGGGCTGTTGGAATGTGGTGTTTCCTTCCTGCCTCGGATGCCATCGGGGGGCCCCCCCGGGCCTGTGCAGCTGCTCTGCAGAGCAGCGCTGGTCCCAGCGTGAGCGGTGCTGGCAGGGAGTGAAGGTGGAGCACCCGCCGAGGAGGGAGGCGAGTGACGCTGCTGCGGCCACTGGGGGCGTCTCTTCGTGTCTTTCCCACGGGAGCAACATGCCGGTCTCCCGGGGACGCTCGCCGGGGAGCTGCGGGGCTGGAGAGGGCTTGGACCTGGAGGGGAGTGATGCCTCGGGCAGAGGGTCTGGGCGTTGTTATAAACACAGGCTTGTGCTCCCGCCACTCCGCGGGGGGTGGGGGAAGAGGGGTGCAGGGGGTGACCTGTTGCGCCGCCTCGGCTTCCTTCTGGCCTGGACTGGGCAGGTGGTCTTGACCCTGGGCCGGTGGTCTTGACCCAGGAGGTCCCGAACAGCGCAAGAGGAGTGGCAGATGCTGTCAACGTGCTCCGGGGAGGGAGCCTCCGTCCGGGGATGCTGGGTGGCGCGGTTCCCACTCAGATGGGGAGGGGAGCGTCCCCTGGGCCCTGGGCTCGGGGCAGTGGCCGTCTCCGAAGCAGTTGTGTTGGTGACGTTCACGTGTCATCTCTAAGCAGAAATGGAAAGATCGTAGCCAGAAAAAGGAATATGAGAAAGGGAAAAACGTCACAGGTAGATCCAAGTATTTAATGAATACAGCAAGTCAGACATTTAAAAAGCTGCTACGAAGGTTAAAAGACAGAAGTTTCCAACTGACTTCGAACTGCGGTAAGTGGTCAGGAGGCCCAGAGCACAGGAAGGTCTGCAGCATGACGTCAGTAACGGCTTGGAGAAGGAGTGAACTACAGTCCTTGTAGAGGACGTTTGAACAGTCACATGTCCACTTAAAATGGGCTCTTTGAGGTCTGGAATGGGATACATAAACCTTACGGTAAGCACAATCCCAAAACCTGCCAAAGATAAAGAATAAAGCGAAAGAAACCAAACAAAACACTACAGCAAAGCAGTGAAGCAAAGGGAAGAGAACAAGAGAAGTAATGAGCAGAACTATAAAAACGACCAAAAACAATTAGCAAAAGGGAAATGAGCAGACACTTCTCAGTAACTGTTTTCAGCGTAAATGGTCGCACGCTCCTATGAAAACCTGTCTGGTGGCGGAATGAAGTGAGGAGCGTGTCCCATCGACGTGCTGCTTATGGGGGGGGGGGCTCCAGAGCGGAAGAGACACACAGACTGAGAGTGAAGGGTGGAGAAAGATACTCCACACAAGTGAAAATGGAAAGAAAGCTGGGTAGCAGCACTTACATCGTCCAAAACAGGCCTTAAAACAAAAATGCGAAATAAGAGAAGGGGAAGATCGTGTAACTATAAAGGGGTCGGTCCAAGGGAAGACATACAATGGTGAATTCCGTGCACCCAGCGCAGGGCCACCTCACTAAGTAGAGTGGTCACTAGTGGACATAAAGGGAGAAACCCACAGTGTCGCAGGACTGGTAGGGGACTTTAATACCCCGTTCGCAGCACTGGATGGATAGCGCACTCACACAGAAGCTTGTGAGAAGATAGTGGCCTTAAACATCCCAGTAGATCAGCTCGACTCCATTCACATTTGTAGACCATTTCACCCCCAACCTGCCGAACACGGACTTTTCTCCACAGGGAACCTTCTCTAGGACGGGCCACTTGTGAGGGCACAGTGCAAGCCTGTCATTTCAAGAGGACTAAAGTCACACCCAGCATCTTTTCCGACCACGGTGGCGGGACACTGGCACTCGGCCACAGGAGGGGACTGGGAGAGGCAGAAACTCCAGGCAGGCAGGTGCCGAGCCGCCTGCGACCGCAAGGCTGGTGTTACAGAGGAGAGCGAGACCTGCCCTGAAAAAAAAAAAACAACGAAAATGACACAACTTCTCTAAATTTGTGGGATGCATCAAAAGCAGTTCTAAGAGGTAAGTTTATAGCTCTGCAGCCTGCCTGAAGAAACGAGGAAATCTCAGTAAATTTTTAAGTCTACACCCAAAAGAACTAGGAAAGGATAAACAAACCCAAAGTAAACAGAACTAAGGGAATTGTTAAGATCAGAGTGGAAATAAAATAGACATGAAAGAAAAATAGGAAAAAATAAACCAGTGAAACTAATAGCTGGTTCTTTGAAAAGATAAGCAAAATTGCCAGATCTTGAGCTAAAGCCATCTAGAAAAAAAGAGAACCCAAATAAATATCACAAATGAAGGAAGTTATAACCAACATCACAGGACTGAAGAGTCATTAAAGAATACTACAACAGTTACATGCGAGCAAATTCAACCATCTAGACAAAATGGGTACATTTCTGGGAGTGTATGACCTTCCAAGACTGAACCAGGAAGAAATACAAAACCAAGCCTAAATCATTACTGTCAACGAAATTGAAGCAGTAATCAGCAAAACTTCCAACAGATGAAAATCCAGGACCAACCAGCTTCACAGATGACTGCTACCTAGTAGTCTAAGGGGGATCCGTCTTAGACAGTTCTACAACACAGAGGAGGAAGGGGCGCATCCAAACTCGTTCTGAGAAACCAACATTGCCCTGGTAGGAAAATCAGACAAAGAAAGACATTAGAGACATTCAGAAAAGGAAAATTACAGGACGAGGTACTCAATGAACGTGGATGCAAAGACCCCCACTGAGTGTCAGCAAACCGGATCCAGCAGCCCATTCGAAGGACCGCACACCGTGACCAGGTGGGATCCGTGCCCAGGGTGCGAGGACGGTTCAACGTCCCCAGATCAGGCAGTGTGATGCGTCACGTTACGGAGAGAACAAAACCCCCATGACCATCTCAATAGATGCAGAAAAAGCACTGGACAGAATTCAGCATCCTCTTGTGATTAAAAACTCTCAACAGAGTTGGTAGAAGGAATCTTATCTCAACATATGGAGGCCGCACGCGACAAGCCCACAGCTAACCTCGTGCTCGGCGGTGGGGGGCTGAAAGCCTTCGCTCTGAGCTCCGGAACAAGATAAGGAAGCCCGCTCCACCACTCGAGTTCAACACCGCACTGGAAGTCCTCACCACGGCGGTCAGATGAAACAGAAACAAAAGAAGTAAAAACATCCAGGTCACGAAGGCGTAATTAAAACTTGCAGTATTTGCAGATGACGAGGTACTGTATACAGAAAACCCGAAACACTCCACCAAAACTATCAGAACTAGTAAGTGAGTTTGGTAGAGTTGCAGGATGTGGAATCAATGTGTGTGTGTGTGTGTGTGTGTGTGTGTGTGTGTGTGTGAGGGGCGGGGGGAGTGGCTTACGGCTGTCTACCTGGAAGCCCAAATCAGTCACACAGTTATTAATACATGTGGTTTGCACACTCTCAGCCGTAACCCCACGATTGCCCACCGCGTGTGAGATCTGTGACGTTCGTGCTCACCAGCGTGAACTACCAGAAGGAGAAAAGTCAGGGACCACCCCACTGATAGTCGCTGCATAGGCCTTAGGCCACCCAGGAATGAGAGCAGCCGGACAGGTGACAGACACCGGCACTCTGAGAACCAGCAGGCGTTGAGGACGGACGTTAAAGAAGGTACAGATAAATGGCAGGACGTGCCTTGCTCTCGGAGTGGAAGCGTCAGTGCTGGTGAAGCAATAGCCTCACTTTGCAAAGCCGCGTGCGGACAGCACTACCAGTGGGACTCTTCTTAGGACCAGGGCAGCTGACTCTAAAATGTCCCGCCTGTTTCTGTTGGAAAATGGGCCTTTCAGATGTTGTGAACACTTGCACTGGAAGTTCGCTTCCAAGGGACGTCACTCACTAAAAGACTGGGGAGCCGGAGGCTCGGGAACAAGGGCTCCCCTTCCCTGGCCAGTAAACTGGGGCGGCTGATAATTTCCGGGTAGAGATGTGATGGATGGTTTCTTTTTTTTTTTATTAAGATTTTTAATTTATTTATCTTTACAGAGGAAGGAAAGGAGAGAGGGAGAGAAATGTCAATGTACGGTTGCCTTTTGTGCGTCCCCTGCTGGAAAGTGGCCTGTAACCCAGGCATGTGCTCTGACTGGGAATCGAACCTCGATTGTGTGGTTCGCAGGCCTGCGCTCAATCCTCTGAGATGGATGATTTCTTATCAGTTAGAATCCTTGCTCTCCTTGACTTCTTTTTCTTTCTCTCTCTCTTTTTTTTTTTAAGATTTATTGATCTCTAGAGGGGAAGGGAAGGAGAGAGGGAGAGAAATATCAATGTATGGTTGCCTCTTGTGTGTCCCCTGCTGGGAACTGGCCTGCAACCCAGGCATGTGCCCTGACGGGGAATTGAACTGTGATCTTTTGGTTTGCAGGCCTGTGCTCAATCCACTGAGCCACACCAGCCAGGGCCCTCCTTTACTTCTTTCTCTCTTTTTCAAAATTTATTTTTATTTATTTATTTTTTAAACTTTGTAAAAACTCCGTGTTCCCCCCATTCGCAACACAGACCTGGCGAAGGGCCTGGGCCGGGGTGTGTATGGGGTGGGTTCACTGCCTCCTCTTTCTGTACAGGCGGTGTGAGAACACGGCCGTGGTGAGCACTGGGAGGCCTCTCCTTTACTTGTTACCGTAACCGCTGACCCTCCAGGCATTAGTTCAAGGGCTTAATGGTGTGCCCCTCTCATTCCTGATGTGAAAGCTAAGGATCAGAGAGGGTAAGTCATTGACCCAAGGTCACACAGCTAGCAGGGGTTGGGGCCTTCGGTTTTCTGGAATTCTAGAATAGGATCTTTAAGAAAAACCCTAGAACCTGTTTTCTAATTTAAATGAAGACCTCCAGGTTGATATTTTGCAAACTCTGTTATTTCCAGTTATCTGTGCATAAAGTATTTGAAAGCCAACCTCACTAACAAATTCCAGATGATGAGGGTTGTTTCTTAGTGAAGGTGATTGAATCAACCTGGCAGTTCCTTCCTGAAGAAGTTCAGGAATAAGCCAGCTTGCAGCCCCTGAACGGGGGCTCCTGTACCTGGGGGGGGGCAGGAAGAGAGGGCAGCCTTGGAGGAAGCCGGTGCACACTGCGTGTGCGCCCGGAGGCTGCGGCCCGGTCCTTCTCAGGACTCCTCGTCGCCCTGGGCCACAAGGCTGGGAGCTGTCCCTGGTCCGCCCGGGAGCTGCTGAGGCAGACCTCGAATTCAGCCTCTGGTCCCCAGAGCAGCACTGTTCGTCCTGCCCCGCAGCCGGTGCCACATGGAGTCTCGAGTCTGCCATCCGGGCAGCTCTCCAGGGCGGGCGGCCGGGAGGGCTGTTGGCGGGCTTTGCCGCCGCAGCTGACTGAAAGGACTGGTTTTCGGAAACACGGAGCGGGAGCCGGGTTTTCGCTCCGTGACGGTTCGTGGTGCGGAAGTGGGCAAGGACGTTACGGCTGGATTCCATCGATCCCCAAAGTGCTGGGGACTGAGAGGCTTGGCCAGTCCCGGACAGTCACAGGGTCTCCTTCTCGTATTGAACGCCTCAGGTGCCCTTTTTTTTCAAAGAGAAATCTCACGAATGAAAATACAGAAATCGAAGGAGAGGAAAATTAGAGACTCCCCCATAAATTCACAACATGAGATGTACCATCCCGACCACGGGGAAGGACGCGCAGATCGAGGACCTGCGTGACGCTGTCAGCCTTCGCCGCCGCCTGTCCCCAGAGCCCTGGCCTCTTCTGGGCTGAACTCTGCCCTTCAGACAGCGGCTCGCCCCTCGCCCCTCCCACTGCCCAGCCTCCACGTCCTGCTTTCTGCCTTCCGCCGGCCGGGTCTGGCCGGTCGCGATGTTCTGTGGCAGTGGAATCACGGGGCACTTACTTGGCCCTGTGGGACGGTTCAGTTTGCTGCACACCACATCTTGCAGGCCCACCGAGGTGGGGGCCGGGGTGGCGGGTGCTGCCTCGTCAGGACGAGTGATGCCCGCTGCCGGTGTGTCCCGTCTGGGCTGCTCGTGCGCCCGTGGCGGACCCCGGTCTGTGTCTTGCTGTTGAGAGCAGTTCTGCGGGTGCCCATGTCTGGCAGTGTCCCTGGTTTTGCTTCGGTCGCGATGCACCCAGAGGTGGAATTGCTGGGTCGTGGGGCAGTTCCGAGGTCGGTTTTCAGAGGACCTGCCGCCCCGCTTTCCGCAGAGGTGGCACCATCCTGCGTCCCCAGCAGCCGGGCACGGGTTCCAGTTTCTCCACATCCTTGCCGGTACTTGTTAATTTCTCGATGGGGGCGGTCATGGGGACTCGATTTGAGTTTCCCTCGCGGTGAGTGACGTTGGGCGCCTTCTCCTGTGCTGTTGTCAGCACAGACACAGCGTGAAGACTGGAGTGCCCGTCTGCTGTCCCCTTGCCCCTCTCCTTCGCGCTCCGTGAGCGTCCTCGCGGTCCACACCGGACTGTTCGGTTCCCGTTTCCTACCAGCCTTGTTGCCAGCGGGTCGGTGTTGCAGCAGAGTGTGGGGGCGCGTCTCCAACTCCTCTGTGGGTGGTGTGTTTGCTGGCGATTCCCAGCAGCCGCGGGTCTTCTTAGCAGAGCCGTGGCCGTGGGGGGTTTGCAGCCCTGCTGGGGGGGTCTTTCTCCCAGAGGATCGGGGTGTGTCCTCAGCAAAAGGAGCCTTGTGGCCGTAATGGCAGAGGGTCGGGGCCGCCTGCCTGACAGGCGTCACTGTGTAGCTTGGACCCTTCCCTGAGTGGACTAACTTCAGCGCTTCGGTTTCTGTGTGAACAAATGGTGTTGTGGATGAGTGCACTCTGCTCCCCCACGTGGACTTCTTAATTTCCAGGTTTTTGGAATCCAGAGGAGATTTTTATAGAAACAGTGTTACCGGGGTGACTGTTTCCCAGGTTACCCCTAATGGCCTGGGCACCCACACGTCGATTCACTGGGGCCAGCAGGTGCGTGCAAGGGGCCAGACTGACGGCGTGCGCACCGGCTCTGCCTGGTCCCCTGACTGTGACATGCTGCCCACTGCCGTGGCCGCGGCCCCTGGTCCCCACCGTGGGGCTGAGGCCCGTGGGTGTGTGCGGGTGTTCGCCGGTGCAGAGAAAAAGAAGCCCAGCCATCACCAAGTGTGTGAGTATCTTGAGCTGCGCACTTGGAGGCTCGGGATAACGTGAGTTTATTCGCCCTCCCTTTCTGCTGCCGGGAGTTCCCACTCGTCAGTCTTCGTGGGAATCAGGAAGGTCGGCAGGGCCGCACCCCGTCCGGGACCTGGGACCTGGGGGAGGAGCTGTGCCTCTTCCCCCTTCTGCCCCCATCCCCCCTGCCAGTCCTGCCGCACGCCCACCTGCGCTTCTTGGCTCCTGTGCCTTTCTCCTTTTCTCTGTGTCTTCCTCTCATGTCTCGAATCTCCCTCTGCATCCGTCTTACTAGGATGTGTGTGGTTGCATCTCGGTTAGATCCTTTACCCGTGTAAGGTAACGTTTATGGATTCTGGGCTTTGGGGCGTGGGGATCTTTCTGGGGACATTTTTTAGCCTGTAATAATAGCAGCCTTCCCCGCCCGTGTTTTTGTGGGACGGGCCATCTGTGGCCACGCCTCAGCCCCTTCACGCTGAGTGTCTCAGCCGCTGGCCCAGCGCCTGGCCCAGGACAGACGTGTGGTGTGGCCTCCTTTGATTTCTGAGAATCTTCTGCTGTGCCATCCTGACGCTCATCTGGTTTTCTCCTCGAACCCTTTACCCACCTTTCCTTCTTTTCCCCCCGGATGGGCTCAGCTGTGCGGGTGCCGGTGGCTTGTGCTCGGGATCAGGAGCCCCGATGAGGCAGGAGGAAGAGTTGCCCACTGGTGCGGGTTGGTCCCGCTTCGGTGTCACCTTGTTCCCGAGTTCTGGGGGGTTTCCGCACCGGTGCCGTGGAGCTGGCCGAGACCCCTGCGGAGGCAAACCGGCATCCTTCCGGCATCTCCCGAGAGTGCTCTTCACCTGGGCCGAGGCGTGTGTCCTTGGACACTTGGCTGTGACGGGGAGCCTGGCCCTCTTGTTTCCTGTCGCTTGCTCCATGACACTGACCATCTCCAGGTCCATCCTGTGGGATTCCTGACGTGGCTGCCTGCACACCAGGGCGGTTCCACAAGCTTGTGTTTCCCGGTGCCTGGCTTGGGTCCCCGTTGAGGGACTTGCCAGATGGACCCCGTAGCCGCCTGGGTCGAGCTGGAATAAAGCACTGGTCCTGGCTCTGGCTGCAGGTGCTGGGTGGGCATCGGGCCCCCCCAGAGGGCTTGCGACCTCGGGCCCAGAGTCCATGCTGCGGCAGGTCGGGGAGGGCAAGAGCTTGGGTGTCCACGCTGCTGGTGGGTCACTCGGAGGACTGAGCATCTGTGCACCTTCGGGGTCAGAAAGGTGCCGCAAGGTGGCTTTCTCCAGCTGACCTTGGACAGGCTGTTAGGCTTTCCTAGCGGACAGATAAGCAGGAGTGTGGGGGGATTGGGACTGGAAAGGGGCTCAGGGCCGTGGAGGGCGGCCAGCAGCTGGGCGGTGAAGAAAGGGGCAGGTGGGGGTGCAGATTCTCAGAGGGGTTTGGTCCAGGGCCCGGGAGCTTGGGTTTCTGTGCGTCTAGTCCCCAGGGGTGCTGTGCGGGCCAGGCCGGGCCCTTCCGCGCTTCTGGGTCGGAAAGCTGCCCCGGCAGCTTTGAAGCTGCGAGTGCCCGTGTGGTAGAGAGGAGGAGGCTGGGAAGCGGGAGGTGGCGGCTGGGTCTCGCTTTCTCCGTGTCCCAGCTCCCCCCTCCCCAGGCTCCTCCGGAACAGAGCAGGCTTTGTCCCGGGGACCCACCTGCAGGCCCGCACTCTGCCCTTCGGACCCTGGGGTGGTGGGAACTCGGAAATCAAAGGGAGCCCCTCTCTCTTTCCTCCTTGTCACGGGGGCCTCCGCAGCTGTGTTCCTAGCCCTGACCGTGATCACCGTTTTAAGGGCCCGAGAAGAAAGAGCCTAGAGGTTGCAGGTTCCGTCCTTCGACCAGTGTGGTTGGGCAGCGGCCTCTCCAGCTGAGCAGTTCTTACTTGCTGTAGCCCTGGGGTTGCATGGCCCTGGGTTTGCACGTGCACAGACGTCTTGGGTTCTGCAGTTGGTGGGCCTCTTCCTTTCAACCTCAGGTCATGAGGGGGAAGCCTTGGGGCGGGTGGGGGAGGCGGGGGTCGGAGCGGGCTTTGACACAAAAGGGCTCTTTCCCCCAGAAGCACCCCTCTCCGGGGCGTGTGCCGCCCGGTGCTGGTGACAGGTCTGCTTGGATGTGGAGAAAACAGGCGCCACAGTGAGATTCCCACACCAGAGGCGCCTTCCAGCGCAGGATTTCACTTTTCCGGTTCTGGTTTCTGGGGAGCTTATGTGGACGGCGTGGCCCCACTGCTACAGAACCCGGGAGGAGTGACCGCCGCTGAGCATGGAGTTGGGGGGCTCTTGGGGGGTGCGTGGTAGCGATGGACAGCCGGCACGGTGGTGATGGGGCGAGCTGGACTTACCGTGGTGGCCGCACGTATGTACACGGAGTCATTGTGTTGTGCTCCTGAAACTAATACGGTGTGACATTCAGTTGTATCTCAGTAAAAAATTAAGTCATCTCAGAACAGTTTGCATTTTGCATGAAACGCCTTTAGC